ATATATATATATATATATATATATATATTAAGTAATAATAATTAAATTGATTTAATGTTTTATGACAGCACAATTTCCAATTATTCGACGTCCCCTCGTTAAGGGATGCCATTAGCACTCCCTTTTTAAAGGAAAAAAAAGGTGGAATGGAAGAATGTTTAAGGAATACAATAACACATAAGATAATCAAATTATAATATAACTTTCTATTTAAAAGAACAAATAAATTAATATCTCTTTATCATTCAAAATTAACCCTGTCAATCAGGAATGTTATATGAATTATTTTTAATGTCAGAATCATATCAAATTCTGCATATATTGTATACGTAAAATTAGGGTTGCTTATGGATTGAGTTGATGGGATTGAAGACATTTGAACAACTCAACCCAATGCTTGCGGTTTGAAAAAATCTTAACCCAATCCAACCCAAACCAAAGTGCAACCAACCCGTACGGGTTGGTCGAGTCAGGGCCGGCCCTGGCCACGTGCAGCCCGTGCGGCCGCACAGGGCATCAAAGCTTAAAGGGGCATCAAGTTGTCATCTATTACTAGTTTTGGGTTTAATAATCTGGGAATTGGACAATTGAGCTTTAATTATAAAAACATGTCTAAAGCCTAGTAGTGATGAATATTTAATGCACATCGTGAACCGGTTAACATTATCATTCCAACAACTCAATCTAATTTCTATTGTTCTTCAAAGTTCGACTATTTCGATTTTCAAGGCATGAATTTCTATTTCCAGCCGATTAACGGTCATGAAATTAGATTTAAGAAATCAAATATGGAAATCTCGAATGACTAATTTCTACTGTTGATTGAACTTACCGAGTTGTTGTGTGAGTCATATTATGATTTATAAATCTTTAGATCTTTTAGCAAAAAAAAAATCTAAATTTCTAACTTATTATTATAAAGATGGGTCATATGGTCACGTGGGTTATCGACCTACTAGGTTAAGGCTAAGGGGCTTTTGTCATTTTGATAATGAGTCTTTCTTTTGCATATTGAAATATCTGAGAATTGAAATTTTCAATGCACATGAGCACATCACTATATCAACATAGCTGGAGAATATTGCACAACATTAACAACATATTGTGATATTGTCTTAATTATTGGGCACTTGTTCTTTGCAATGCACAGTAACATAGATTATGAATTTTATAATTTATTATTGTTCTTTTGATTTTTGTTTACTTTGAGTTTGACATTACCGCATTAGATTTAGGGGACGTTTGATTGGTTTTTTATTAAGTTCTATATAGATAAAGTTGTCTGTATGAATTAATTTGTTTGTATAAGTTGGAAAAGTTTTTGTTTGATAGAGTTTTATCACAGATGTAAGGGGCGTTTTTTTAGTTGGAAGAGACATGTTTGGGAAAAAAAACTTGGCTTTCTATATAAAGCTCTCCTTATAAGCTTACTGGATAAGTCATTTTCTATAAGCCACTACGAAACAATCATGCGTAGTTGAGCAAATAAATTGTTAGTTCCATTAAGTTGTTAATAGATAGGCCCTGCGCCTTTGGTCGTTACACCTATAACTTTTGAGTTTTATTTTTTGCTTACTATGACAGTAATTTAGATGTAATTTACTATTTTAGTTAAAAAACTAATGATAGTTTTGCTTGTTTGTTAAGTCTCATATATTGAAATAAAGTTTCTATTTTGCTAATTTCAATTTGAAAAAAAGAAAAACTGGAAAAGAATGAATCACGATCTTAATCCAGGATTTATTCTTTTATCATTCTATATTTTGTATTTAGGGTTTTGGTTTTTCTGTCTCCCCATTGTATTTTTTAAAATTATAAATAATAAAAATCAACATTGGAATGAGACACTTAGCTTGAATAATTTCCAAACTCTTTAAAAAATCGCATGTTTCGTTGTTTCATTGGCTTAAAAAAATAGGCTTAGAGGCATCTTTTATTATTTTAGCACAGGGCATCAAAAATCCTAGGACCGTCCCTGGATCGAGTTAGTCGGGTTGATACTTTGGTATATTAAAATATTCTTCTAACCTTGAATATGTTATTTCTCTACTCATAGTTTCTTTTTTCATCATCAACCATTGGACTTATCCATATTTCTTACGTATATCACATTGAGTTAATTTTCTCAATTTACATATGTATGTTCACAGTTATTGAACATACATATAAATGAGTTATATAGAGATATGAATAGATTGAAAATATGTGTATATGAAAAGCATATATGATAGTGTAATTGTCTAATGTATATATTAATAAAAATTCAACAATTATATTAAATCCAAGAAATAAAAAGATATTGGGTTCATCGGGTTGGGTTGAGTTCAAATAATAGTAACCCAATATCAATCTAATACCTACGGTTTGACAATTTTATAACTCGATTAAACATCGGGTTGCTTCGGGTTAGGTTGTTTCACGTTGGGTTGATCGGGTTGGTTGGGGTTTTGAGCACCCCTACGTAATTGATATTATTGTATGTAAGGAGAAAATGAGTAGGTAAAAGTAGAGGTGCTCAAAAACTCGACCAACCCGATCAACCTAACCCAACCAAACGCGAAATAACTCAACTCAAAGCAACCCAATGTCTAATCGAGTTGTAAAATTTTCAAACCGTTAGTATTATGTTGATATTGGGGTACTATTATTTGAACTAAACTCAACCGATGAATCTGATATCATTTTATTTCTTGGAAATTTATATTTAAATTCAGGTTGAGAAAATTATTGTGATGGATGTTAATCATTCAACTTTATGGTTGCATGTTGTGGAATGGTGAAAGTTAAAGGTAATAAATGGCTTGTGAGTTCGACACGGAGGTATTTGACCAGAGAGATTATTCGAATGAGCTGAGAAATAACTTAAATTCGGAAAGCTATGAAAAAGACCAGGTATGTTTCCCGAGGGCCTGTTGGATGAAACATCTAGACAACTAGAGGAATTACCAATTCTAGTGATGGCGATGAACATGCCAACTATATCTGATGTGTAAGAAATATGAAATATTGGAAAACACAAATGGAAAAAGCTATGAATTGACTAAAAATCATGGAATATTATTGAACAAAATGTTTGATTAAGCAAGGAAAATAACTTAAATTCGGGAAAATGTAAAACAAATTAGGTAGATTTACGATTTGATGAAACATCTAGACAAGCCAGATTTGAGGGATTATTATTCTTTAGAAGATTATCGTGAAGATACGATCAAGACAATCTTGAATAGATAATATGGTATAATGCCAGAAACTAAATTCCCATCTGGAGAAAGTTGTTCCAAGGAACTACAAATCTCAAACTCCGTTGGAATCTCTCCAACAAAGTAATTTAAGAACCCTAATGCCAGTGGAGTTGACACAAAATTCTGGTTGTTAGAACTGAAAATCAGTGTTAAATTGTATTCGTCTTGAAAGATAAAATTGTCTATAATTGTAAAATAGACATCGTGTTTGACTTTGACTTTGAGAGTTTTACTTTGACCCTATATAAGGTTTTGTCCTTTGTGTAATTAGAGGTAGAGCTCATTTGTAATATTACACAAAGTTTGAGAGGTTTGTAATTCATTGACTGCATTGACTTTTTCTCTCAACTCCTTCCATATTGTTCTTGAATACTTTATGAAGATTGCCATAGATTCTTAAGATATTTAACTAAAAAATGATCATAGGGACTATCACTGGTGCAATTGAACCTCCAAAGTGATTGTCAGAAAATGTCTAACAATTGGACCAGAATTAATTGAAATGGGAAGAAGGCCTTTGAGTGAATTGTCAGAGAGAATTAGGATTCTAAGCTGATCTAAACTAGTCAATGTCTGAGTTAAATTATCATCTAATCTTTTAGTGAATTGTTCTCTTACCATGGAAATCGCTAGTAATGCCAACCCAATTAAAGCAATTGGAAGAATTTGAAATCCATCCATTAGCGACTGCTTCTATTTCGTCCATCAAATCTTTAGAATTGTTGTTGCAGTTCTAAAGCATCACAGTCACAACGGAGGTCGTTGAGGTTTTTATCTATATTCTTTTTTCTTGTTGGGACCGTCTTTTGAGAACCAAGAAATTGTGACAACTTTAAGAATTTATGCATCATGTGTTATTTCATATGATTTATTTTCATCTAAGTCTTGGATTTAGAATGCTGATTAACATATTTTTGTTTCATAATGTGTTTGGTTCACATGATTAACATATTATCTTCTTTTTAGATTTTTTTTATTTTTAGATCATTTTATTTTGTTTTACTAAATTTATGAAAACATAGAAGTTAAAATTGATATGAAAAAATATATAAGTTACTTATTATAAAATATAGCTATTAATTTTGTTCTAGTTTTTCGTTTTTATAAAATTTTATGCACTTTTTTGGTATTTTCTTTTAACAAGATTAATTTTTGATTATCTTGTTATATTATTATGTAAATTATTGATCAATACTTTTATATATAAATTGAAATTAATATATAAAGAATAAATTAATAACTATAAGATCTCTTCTATTCTTATTAAGAAGTCTTGTCTTGTGGCAATTTTATGATTATGAATGTTCAGATTGTAGATCTAATCCAAAGGTTGAGAATTGGTCTTACGGGTCTCACATAATCCCAAGTCTATGGGATCATGTGAGGCCAAAAGTTTTTCATGAGACCCGTAAGATCAATTCTTAACCCTTAGATTAGATCTACAATCTGACAATCTGAACATTCACAAACGTCACGAGACTTCTCAATAATTACAAAATTGTCACCGTGTAACTTTAGATCATTAGCTTATAAAATTGATCAATGAACATAAATTGGTCTTACGGGTCTCACGAAAAATCATTGATGTCACGTCCCTATATATCACAGTATATGATTCGTGATCAATCCTCTCCTCTAAAAAAAGGGAAAAAAAACACTGACAATCAAGAAAGCTCTTAAATGCACCCAAATATTTTATATTCACATTATCCAAAACCAACGACTTTTCCAAAATTTTACTACATTTTACAATATCTTCAAAAAAAAAAAAAAAAATGTTGCTCAATCTCCAAAATTCTTATTTTATCCTAAGAAATAAGTTTTAGGAAGTGTGGGGATGTTTGGATGTGAGTTTAGGACTGTAAGAAGTCATTTAGTTGCAAAGCAGGACTCCCTGGGCATGCAAAATCCCTTCACGGGCGTGAGTTGTTCCTGGGCATGAAACACTGGCAGAATTCGAGTTGTACGATCTTTGCTGTATAAACCCGATTTTTGGCCCTTGTCTTCCTCGTTTTATTCTATCTACTTCTGGCACTCCCTTTCACTTCAATGAAGACTATCCTACGGTACGATTTTGGGAGCTGCAATATTACCATTTATGAACATTGATTTCTCCTAGAGTGTGAGGATTATAATGAAAGTTTTTCACCATCTTCATTTTCTCCATTAGAGCTCATACCTACCTCTTAGCACTTCCTCATTCAAACTCGATTTAGGGACTTGCTTGTGCTTTTATTCACCTTCTCCAAGCATTTAAGAGCTCCAAAATCTGAGTTTATCTTCTTCATCTTCATTTCCACCATTTTGGACCTGGTTTTTGGGTTCTTCCTGAAAACGATTTATAAGTCATCCTAGCCTTTCTAGACCCTTATTCTTGTAAAAAGAAAAGCTTTCGTTTTAACCTCCTAGAACATCTCTTTTGGTGTATCTCCATTATATTGAGTTTTTTTTATCATTTTGGGTGATTGATATTTTGGCTAAGGATTGTATGGATATGATTTTGGGGTTACTTTTGGTACATCTCTAGGTAAGGATGAGACTCGAGTACCGTTTTACCAAACCGAACAGGAACCTAGCCGAACTGTGAAGTTGTGTTATCGGTTTGGTTATTGGTACCAAGAATACAACAAAATCGGGAATCGATTATTCGGTTCCGGTACCAACACTTTCCTGAAAAAGTCGGAACGGAACCAAACCGGAATTTAATGGACCTTGACTATCCCTATTCCATCTCTATCTTCTCATTAACCAACTACTGTTTATCCTGAACTAATCCATATTTTCTCTTAAAACCTACTCCCTAACTATTTCCTTATCAAAAAATCGGCCTTAATCACCATCGATCAAAAAATCGGCTCCTATTCCCTTTGATCATTTCATTTCGAGCACCTAAAAAAATCGGCTCCCATTCTCTTTGAGTGTTGAACTTTTGCGATTGGTTTTGATTGTTTTTGTACCCACTTTCAATTTTCGGTCCTAAGTGATCCTAGTTCCGAATTTCCAGAACTGAAACCGTTAGTACCGAATTTGTACATACAGTTCCGTTTTCGGTCGTCCTTTTCAGTCCCATTAAATTTTTGTACTAACTGTTTTGATAACGGTTTGGTACCAATCTCATCCCTATCTCTAGGCTTGATTGAGACTCAGATAAAGTTCCTAGAGGTAAGGGTTGATGGATCTAAGTCTTCACCATTTTGGAAGCTAGAGATGAATTTGGAATCTAGGTTTAATCCAATCTAACAAGATGAGTTCAAGTTGATTTGTGAAAACTGTGTACATACCAAAATGTTTATTTTGAAGTATAAATGTGTATTACTTTGATATTTATCAAATGTATTGAGCATTTGATGAATTTTTCATATCTAGTAAATTTGCGTTAATAAATCTTGTAGAATGCTTATACTTGGGTTTTTAGACATTTTGATAAATAAATCACAAGTGTGGGTTCTTTTGATGATTTATCCTATAAATGAAAGATTATTTGGTGATAATGCATTTGTAGTGTATTTGGTTTGGAAAATGCATATTGATATGTTATGAGACATTTTGGAAAATGCATATTGGTATGATTTCAGTTGGAAAATGGTTTTTCCCAATCAATGATATTTTTTGAGTTAATCATGCATTTAGAGCATGTGTTTGCATAAACATTGGTTAAATATGTTTTTATTGATGACTTTTATTAAATAGTCAATTGAGTTGTTGAGTTTTGGCTCGGTTTGACTCGGATGAGTCTTGAGGACATTTGTTCGATTTATTTTTCTATGTCGAGCTTTGGAGTTATATGTAGTTATAACATATTTATTTGAAATATTAGATGATTTATATGCATGGTCATCCATTTGGGGTCATGTAAGGCTTAGTTTATCTTTTGTTGATAATTAAATCAAATTTTACTATTCGAGATAATTCAAGTATTGATCTATTGTAAGAGATTTATTCTTTGTTTAATATATTACAGAAAATTTTAATTTACCCACTTTAGCTTTATGGGTGTTACACTTTTGTCTCAGTATCTACGAAGTTGGGGTAAAATCGTGAAAACAAAAGTTATTATGTTTCATAATAATATTTTGGCTATTTTGGCAAACTAGTTGATAAAGTAGCTTATGATTTATAAGCTAATTAATAACTGATAAGTTAGCTGATAAACTAAATACGTTTGACAAAACTAACTGATAAGCTAGTTGAGAAATGTAAAATAACCAAAAAAGACGTGTTTAAAAGTTAATTACGAAATACATATTATAAAAAATATCTACATTAAATAATTGTTATATAATATAAATAAAAACAAAGTTTATCATTCTTAAGTATCATAGTTAATTAATAATTTCTTAAAAAGATAATTAAATTAAATTAAATAATTTATTAAAATATTTATTATTATTTATGAAATAAAAGAAATATATAACTTATAACTTTTATATGATTTATAAAAGCATTTTAAAAATTGTTATATCTCTTGTGATAACTAAATATATTGAATTATAATAATATAAAATAATTGATAAAATTAAAAAAAATTGAATTTAAAATTAAATTTAATAACAATTAATATTAGTCGGGATATAATAGGAAAAAGTGGCAAAAAACTTCTTATAAGCTACTTTCAAGTTTCAACTAACTTTTTAATAAAGTAGCTTATATTCGTTTAAATATATATTTAAACAATAAGCTAGCTTATGTTTATCAAACAAATACGTAAATCATTTTATTATAGTCTGAATAAAATTTAGAAACCATTCTGCAAAGGGTTTCTGAATGCTTCAATCATTTTTACCATACGAAAATATTATCAGGAATGAAATAACGAATAAAAATGGAATTAATTGCTTACAATTCTCAATAACCACCAGCAAACTATAAGCATTCTCCTTTACATATTTGGCATCAGCAACTCAACCCAAAATCTTATAACTCATCGAATCACCATCAGAAACAAACACATATTGATCAGTAATTACATACACAAGAACACACTCCAAGTGTTGTTTAGACATATATAATACCTACGAAGGAGATGACCGAGTATCGATCCATCGATCGAAGGAATCAACGTTACTCGAATTTATCCGTTCTGTGTTCATCTCTAATCGTTGGAACAACGAGCAATAACACGACGGTAAGAAGGAAACCAGTTCCAAATCCACTCCATACCGGCAAACTAATCGTCCACTCTTCCTCCTCAGGTTCTGAAGTTTGCAACAACTCTTCAACTTGCCGACAATTTAAAACAAATTCACCGCATAAACCTGGGTTTCCTTCAAAACTAGAGGCTGAAAAGGTCGAAAATTGGCCACCGGAAGGAATAAACCCCGTTAGATTATTGTATGCGACGCTGAACTTAGATAACATGCCAAGCCTCACCAAAGATAGAGGTATCTGCCCAGATAACTCATTATGAGACATATCCATAGTCTCTATGCAGCTTAAATTCACCAAATTGCTCGGAATATTACCCGATAACTCGTTGTATCTTAGGTTCAAAACATGCAGGTTTCTCAGGTTTCCAAACTCTGGCCAGATTGATCCGGTGAAAAAGTTGTTACTCAGGTCTAATGTTGGTGGGAATCGAGCACCATAACCGTATCGCAACACTTTTCCGAATATGCCTCTCCTCATGAAGATAGGGAGGTCTAGGGAAACATCCAACGAGTTATTATGAAATTGGAGAGCGGGTAATTGGGTGAGGCTCTTCGGAATCTCTCCGCTTAAAAAGTTGTTAGATAAATCCATGTAAACAAGCGACGTCAAATCTCCTAAAAAGGGCGGCATTCGTCCTCCCAGCTGGTTCCATGACAAATCCAAGATCCTGAGTTTCGTTAAACCGTTTAACCATACAGGAACAGTTCCAGTAAGTTTGCAATTGKGAATTACAAGAGTCTTGAGCATGTTGAATCGTAGACTAGCATCAGCGGGCATTTCTTCATCGTGAAAGCTATGGCTAAGGACCAAAGTGGCAAGGTTTGGGCAATGTTGGAGGATTCTGAGTGATTCAGAAAGGTTCTTCAAGTTGCACATAGAGAGACAAAGATACGATAAAGAATCGAATCTTTTGAAGCTTTCTGGGATCGGTCCGGTGAGATTGTTTCCACCAAGATCTATGTTTTTTAGCATTGGGCAGGAGGGAAGATTATCAGGAATGGATCCCAGAAACCTGTTATCAGCCAAATCAAGCGTCGAAAGGCTTATCATTGCTGAGCAATTTAGATCGAACGAACCAGAAAGGGAATTGTTTCTTAAGATAATCGAAGAAATGGTGCCGGAATTCAACAATGAAGAGGGTATCTTACCAGAAAGATTGTTTGAATGAGCAGAGAAATTACGTAAATTGGGGAATCTATGAAAGAAATCTGGTAGATTTCCTGAAAGCCCATTTAGGGAAACATCTAAAGAAACAAGATTGGATGGATTACTATTGCGTAGCTGACCGATTAGAAGGTTATCCTGAAGAGATAATTGAGATAATCTTGGTAATCTGAATAGATATTCTGGTATGATCCCAGAAACAAGATTTGCATCTAGAGAAAGCTGTTCTAAGGAACTACAATTCTCAAATTCCGGTGGAATCTCTCCATCAAAGTAATTTACCCCTAATTTAAGAACCCTAATTCCAGTGGAGTTGATACACAATCCTGGTGCAATTGGACCTTCAAAGTTATTGTCAGAAATGTCTAACAATTGGATCGAAGGTAGGTTTACACTTAAAGGGAAAGACCCAGAATACTCATTGCTACTCAAATCAAGAATTTGCAAATTTGGCAAGTGAAATATGGAAATGGGAAGTGTGCCTTTGAGTAAATTGCGAGAGAGATTTAGGGTTCTAAGCTGATCTAAAGTGGTCAATGAATCAGCCAAGTTACCCACTAGTCTTTTCCTGGAGAGTTCCAATCCAACAACCCTACCATGGAAATCGCAAGTAACGCCATTCCAATTACAGCAATCGGAAGAAGCTGAGGTCCAGCCATCAATGGCTACTTCCATTCCATTCATGAAACCCTTCAATGCCATTGAATCATTGGAATTGCAGATGGAGTTCAAGTGGGCTTCGACTGAAAACCCCAAAACGATAGCAGTCACACATAACCCCAAAACGTTCATCTCACAAAAAGAAAAACCTCAATGAAACAGTAAAGATTGAATTTTAGGTCAAGAAAGTTGAAAGAAATGGGAAATGAAAGCAGTGAGAGTAGAAGAAGCAGAGTGATTGCTTGGTGTTAATGGAGGTGAAGTGCATGGGGAGTTGAAAAAGCTGTTGGAATATGGGAGGGGAGACATTTAGATATGTTGAACACGTGATTCGATCTCAAAACCCACATGCCTTTTGTACCATTCAGTTCATTTTAATAATCCAAAATATCATTTAGGTAGATAAGGAGTTGTTTGATAATTGTTGAATGGTTTAGTCTATCATAATTAAGTGGTTAGAATGATTAAGAAGTTCTCATGATATAATGCAAAATGAAATATAATTGTTCGGTAATTGTTTACAATGGAATTAGTTCGCTAAATGGTTATGAGAGATCCTTGATACAAAATTATTTAAAGGATTTTAGAGCCATTAAGAGTTAAAAAAAAAATTGTCAAACATGATTCATCACTTAATGAATTAGAGACTGTCTCTTAATGAAATTATTAAAAGGTAGTAACTTACAATAAATATTTATCTAATCTATACTATATTATAAAACATTTGGCAAAAACTCTTAAAAACTATTTTTTATGCATTAAGTACTGTATATTAATGCATATTACTTAAAATTCAAGATTACAAATAAATTATGCATAATTACAACTTATTAAAGCTCTATGTTTGAATTCGTATAACAAACTGCGAATAAACATAATCAAATAGAGAATAAACATTTTATTTTAAAATATAAAAAATCTAAAATATAATTAAGATAATTCTCGAGCTCTAACAAGATAATTAATTATTATATTTATAAAAAATTATATTATTAAACCAAATATAAATTATTTCGTTATTGGATCTAAATTAAATTATAATAATAATAATTGAATTAAAAAATTACACAAAAATAGGAATTTTAAATAGTTAATTTGATACTAATATCGATATACTTTTGTCAAATTTTTATGATGTATTCAAATTTATATTTTATTCAAAAATAAAAACATCATCGCTTTTTCAAAATCACATAAGACCATATTATAACATCGACTGAGATAAAAAATAAAATACTAAAATCAAGATTCATCTCGTTGCATTGCACAAATACTCTTCTAATAAATATTTAATAAACAACTATTTAACTATTTATCAAATATTCAACACGTCTCTAAGTAAAAAAAAACACGTGGGTTATCACAATATAACATGACAAAATTGAATTTATGTTTAATCGGATAAATTTAAGTCACATTGATATCACATGTCTAATTTTTTTAACAAGTGGAGAGTAAAATACATTTTTAGTCCCTAATGTTTATAGATTTCAACAAAATTGGTCTTTATACTTCTTTTATTAAATATTATTCTTGATGTTTATAAAAAAATTATAGATTTCGTCCCTTCCGATAACTATCGTTAATAGTTTCCATTAATTCAAGTTTTGTTTGATTATATTATACTAAAGTAATTTGATAATTAGCATATAAAAGTTAGTACTTATAAACTATAAATATTTAATATTTACGCAACCCGGCATATAAAATAATAACTTATAATCACTTGGGTTGTAACACAGTAAATAAGCCTTAAGGAGATGTCATGTCATGGAGAATCTTATCTACCCGAGGTCTAAATTCAGGCGTTGTCAAAGCCTTTGTGACTATGAAAGTTCATCTGCGATGACTCGAAATCATTTATAATCACCCGAAAGATTAATCAGTACACATAAGTTGTCTGAAAACCCATAATTAGCCAAAAAGAAATAATAATAACATAAATGAAATGAAACTTTTAACTCTTACAAGTTAAACATTTCCAAAGCTTGCGGATAAAGTAAATCAACTTTTGATGGAAATTTTTGGCATGGCAAACCGTTCCCATTAGGGGTGCTCATGGGCTGAGTTGATTGGGTTGAAAACAATTAAACAACCCAACCCAACCCAATGGCCGGGTTGATATTTTGGTACATTAAAATATTCTTCTAACCTACAATATGTTATTTCTCTACTCATAATTTATTTTTCATCATCAACCATTTGATACAACTTATCCATATTTCTTACATATATCACATTCAGTTAATTTTCTCAATTTACTAAACATATATACGAATGAGTTATATAAAGATGTGAATAGATTGAAAATATGTGTATATGAAGAGCATACATGATAGTGTAATTGTCTAGTGTACATATTAATAGAAATCCAACAATCATATTAGATCCAATAAATAAAATGATATCGGGTTGGGTTGGGTTTAAATAATAGTAATCCAATATCAACTCAATACCTACGGTTTGACAAATTTACAACTCGATTAGACATCGGATTGCTTCAGATTGAATTATTTCGTATTGGGTTAGGTTGGGTTGATCGGATTGGTCAGGTTTTTGAACACCCCTACTTCCCATGGTTACCTTACTTATATGTAAAATATTAGAAATAAATTACTAAAGAGAGTCATATTTATGATTAAATATGTTCCAAAATCATATCATAATAAAATTGATAAAATCAATTCGAAATAAGTTGAATCAAATATATGATGATAATATATTTTATAATTACTTATATTGAACATAACAACTAAAAAAATGTTGTATCATATTTCTTGTGGGTGTTGATAGTTGCTTAATGATTAAGTGACTTTATATGATATAATACAGAATGAAATATGATTGTTCTGAATGGATACCAAAAGTAGGGGGAGATTCCTTTTTATTTCAAACAAATTTCAAAATTCATTAATGAAAACTAAAACAAACAGAGACAATAAACATTGATTTTCATCTTTACCATAATTTGTATACAAACATGATTCCCTGTTTGCAGATCGTTTCACAAAGAATACCAAGGTATTACCGATTTCACCAAGGATTGCGTTGCAATAGAGCCAAACAACGAACTCAATCTCATGCTATCTACTTGAAAGGGTTGGATCACGAACGGTCCTTTATAAAGATGCCCTTATAACTGATCTAGTGATCCTGATGCTTAAAAAAAGTAAGATATGATTCAAGCTCGTTAGACCCAACTCTAGTGGTCTTGGATCGCGCAGGTTTTAAATATCTACCGAATAAAATAGATAAATACAACATTTTATAGTCGTTTCCAAATGTCTAATATACTCCTATATCTAACTTGATAATTTTTGGCATCGACCGCTCCTTGTGGGGTTCACGACAGCCAACTATTTAGCAACGAATCTTTCAAACTCTTGGCCATGACGTCTTTCCCTTTTGCCTTCACAAACAGATCAAAACTCGATCGTCAAACACATATGCTAACAAGAAACACTTAATTTTTTGGATTAGCCTGGATATCCAATCCGCTATGCGAGCCAACTAATCTTAGGGCGACCACCTGCTTTGCAGATATCCCGGAGTCACCGCATTTGAACCTCCATGGCCACAAGAGGATTTTTATTCCTCCTTAGATTTGAACCTGAAACCTCCTGGTACTTTTGACCTTTGGAGTCGAGCTCAAACCAATCAGACACCACCTTTGTGGTTAAGAAACACTTATTTGTGTCACTTAGCCATGGACAACCATGTTGCAATGATTTTTCTCTTATAGTGAAACAAGATTATAAAACCATCGCAATGTACGTGACAGCCTTGACCGTCACATAGCAGTCGGCGCCGTCCTTTTCAGTTGAATAAAATCCGCGTCCTAAAATCCTATGCGCCCTCAGTGTCTCACCAATCATATAACGACACGTTGTTATTTTGTTTAATCACCTAATTATTCTCTCTCTCCAATAAAGAGATAGACATGTCTTTACGTGATTGGTGGGATTCGGGAGCTTGAAATTTTATTATATTCTTTTCCGATATACCTCTACTTTGAGAACGTTCAAGACTCTGCCATTACAAGTAGCAACATTGGCATCGAGTACTTGAAGTCCCAACGAATCGACAGTCTCCATAATCCTCAGAAAACCCCCTCGCTTTTGCCCGCAAACTAGTTTAATCAAGAAATCTTTAGCCCCAATTTGGTGTACTTCCACTTGAACCTTCATGCAAACAACACAAACTTAAGGGATTCACCATAAAAAGAATGTCTTGATCTAGAAACAAGAATTTACCTCTTTTTTGCTGTCCAAAGCTATTGAAACAAGATCATGCCCATTTGTAGGTGAGTGTTCATATTCTCTTTTTGGTTTGCAGACCTCTACTTCATCTTCATGAGATTTGGAATCATTGTCTTCCAATCTCTTAAGCTCATCTTGAAGTTCTTGAACATTAGTTTCCAACTCCTTTATATACTCGATTGCATCTCCAACTATGGAAGCCCTGTCCATCTGCTTTCAAGATTTCAGATCATAAACCAAAAATCTGAATAAAAGTTGATCAAATCTAGTAACAAACCTTAGAAATCTTTGGGACTAAAGAGCGTAAAGCAAAGAGACCATCTTTGATTCGGTGTCTTCGGTTCCTCTCAGTCACAAGATTCTTAGATTGGTATTGTTCTTTGCCAGTTTTCTGCTTAGTTTTAGTGTTTCCTTTTGGTTGTCCAGAAATAGCATAGCCCAACAAAGTTATCGGCTTACCAACGGAATGAGTTGGTGATACATGAGCTGAACCCGCTGAAACAAGTGATGAATTTTCACTCCAAGGGTTCGAACCATTTGCTGATCCTTCAGTTTTTGGGTGCAACGTGGATTGTGCAGCAGTTTCCGTGTCCTCAACACGGAATTGTTCATGTTTAGACAAGATATTGAACTGTGCCATAAGAGTCTCTATCATTTCTTGATCTCGTGGGACCTAAAACACTCAACGATTCGTGTTAGATTATTGTCAAAACGATTTTAGGCTCTTGTTTTAAAATCGAGACACACTGATCGTACTTGTTTTGATCTGTAGAGCTCAATCAGACCACCATCGACAGGAATTATAACTTGAGTTCCAACGGGATCCTAATAAGTAAACACTGAAAATGTTAAGAGGTTGGTTCCATATGAATTCACCATTTGAATCATGAAAACACAAACTGATAGCATGCTCACTCACATGACTCCATGATGGTTGAGCTGACATTGCAACTTCTCCATGGATCCTGGTTTCGATTTCAGACAATAAAGTGATTCCAGTGAACGATTAAACGATGAATGATCATGAACATATAGATAGATGATTACCCAGAATATAGTGGCAAAGAAAAAGGAATCTTGGCTAATTTCTCACAAGTTTTTGTCTTCAAAGAGTGTTTAATGTAAGTATCTCTGCATAATACAGAAAAATGTTGTTTTGTTCCATCAAGTTCCTCCTTGACATTTCTACAAACACCCGGGCCACCATTGCAACAACAACCAATCCACTGAATGTACCTGAAATAACCTCAAAATCCCTGATAATTTGAATGAATTTCACAGTTAATGAAACCAAAATAAAATGTATTCATCAGTTTCCTCGAACAATACCTAGAAGGATCATCACCAAACTGCCAAACAATGCAGTAGTCCCATGGCTTCGTCTCTACAAGAGTTCTTAGCCACTCTAATGCCCCCATCTCCAAAAAGATTGTCCTTTTCGTTATTGTTTACCGTCTCAACGAATTTCAAGTAGAATCGGGAATGATCTAAGGGTCTCCTACCAAAAGAATCTGACACTCGCTGTATGCGTTCTTATAAATAACTAGAAGGGTCTTACTTTATAAATAAAAAATAATTTTTAAGAGTTTTTGTCAAATATTTTATAATATAATATAAATATATTTTTATACATTTTTAACGATTTAAATAAATAATTTTATGATAATTCTTAAAAAAGTAAAATAAAATAGGAAGACTGTTTCAAAAAAGGCGATCATGAGAAGGCAACAGTTACCTGCAAACAATGATAGGAGGGGCCTCAAAATGTACCACCAGGAACAGAGTGTGCACCTTTTGGTTATCTTTCGTACAAACAAAATGTTGTACATTTTGTTTTGTATTAAAGATTTTCCTTCAAAAAAAAAAAAGATGTATTAAGATTCAATAAAAAATGTGCATTCATTTCTATTTGGTATAGTATTAACTTTTTTACAAATCCTTATGTCTCGATGTCGATCAGCTAATCAAATGAAATCTTATGTGACGTCTAAATTAAATAAATTTTGCATGACATCGGCGTTTTTAAGTTGTCAATTGTATTTTGTTAAAATTACCACACGTAATTACAAATAGGTGTTATATGATGATGTGGATTTGTAATAGGGGGTGAATGTGAGTTGGGTGGGTTCAATAATTACGGTTTAAGAAATTATAATCATTCATGTTTATTTCTAATGTTTGTAAATCTAAACATAAGTTAAGGTACGATAAAAGTAGTTGATTAAAATGACACCTTGATTAAGAAGCATGGGTTTTTGTTTTACACATTTCGGAATAGCATTTATTTAGTTGATTTTATTATAAAAAATACATATTCAACTTAAAATTTTGTCTATTTAGCACTTAAGCTAATTAGTTATAGTTTTGGACCACTTAATGAACAAGAAGATTACTGAACTTGATGGACTTATTGCCTTTTAATGAACTAGATATTAGACACTTAGGGGCCGTTTACCAAAAATTTACCCGATAAATGTTTATCGGTAAAATTCAGTACTATTGCTTACTTATCAGGTAAAACTTTCGTCCATTATCGATTTGTCTAATGTATAAACCAATGAAACTTCAGGCTAATTGAGTTGGGTTGGACGGTTTAGTCTGTTTGGTTCAGTCTTAGAACGAACCAATTTGTTGTGTGTGTGTGTGTGTGTCTCTCTCTCTCTCTCTCTCTCTCTCTCTCTGTTGGATTCCGGTAAGAATGAAAGTTATAGTAAAAATAGTAAGAATGATCTCCACCTTGGATCAATCATAATTGAAGATCAACACTAATGAAATGCAAAAGATCAATTCTTGAAGTGCAGTTCATAGGGTGGGATGAGATTAAAAATGATCTAAGGGTTCAGATCACTTCTTACGCTTCTCACATTAACTCATATTATCACATGATCCTTCGTCTCTCTCCTCTCTCTCTCTCTCTCTCTCTCTCTCTATATATATATATATATATATATATAATGGTCCAATTTTAAAACTTTAATCTATACATATGACGAATGATCGTATGAGAATGAAAGTTAAGGTGAGAAGTGTAAGAAAGAATATGGATCTTTGACCATACTTAATCTTAAACCCACCAATGAATTACGTTTGATATGAGGATTGATCTAGTGCATCTCATATTGATATGCATCCAAAGGTATATCCTTACGCTTCTCACCTTAATTTTTCTTATCATCATGTAATATTTCTTATATCGCTTTACTTTTTACCAAAAAGATACAATACACCAAAAAAATGATATCGGGCTCTCTACAACAAACCTTCTTCTACTTCGCTTCTAAGCCCAACTTATTTTCCTAATATTTTGTTGGGGATAGTCAGTAGTGTGCTATAGCATACATATCAATAGTCCATTAAAAAGGATCGTGTTAACTGGATTTTGAGATATATATGTCACCATAAGGGATTTGGAGGCTTCCAAATTTCCAATACACGGCGTCCTAACCATTCATAAATACTTGTACAACCATTCCATTTTGGAGAACCTCGATATTTTGATGGTAACATGGTTACTTTGTCAGTTGTTAATACAGTTTATGCAAGACCAGTACAAAAGATTAGATTCTAAGTCATACAAAATTTAGGATTCAATAGAACCTTACAGATAACAAATAATATATTTTTATTACTTTATTTTTTTCGTTTCAGAATATGTGTTTATATTTCTATTTAGTTTGTTCTGATATAAATTTTTGTTTTTAAAAGTAAGTGCTTATTTTGTGATTGTATTATCAATTATAAGATGAAAAAGAAAACGTATTACTCCTTTTATAATTAAGGATAAAAAATGTGATTTATTTGATTATAAAGTATGGCTTTTAAAATTATAAAAATATCATACAATACAATAAAATACATCTTCATTGGTAAATGTTTACCAGTAAAAAATTTAATTGGAGTTTGAATTTAATAATGACAATAAACTAAAATTGCAGTCAAGTGGATTATAAATTATACCAATAAAAGACGGCTAAACAAGTGGGGTTGCAACTTGTGGGCTTCGGTCATATCCATACGTTGGGTCCACTCCGGTCAAGTTGATTATAAGTTAATTATACTACATATCTTAGAGTTAAATACATATTTGGTCCTTGTGGTTTACATAAATTAACGAGTAAGGGTTCTTAAAATAAATTATTAACAAGAGACATCCTCATAGTTTTATTTTTATAACCGATATGATTATTTCTCAAACTCATTCAGTTAAATTTTTGTTAATGAGAGAGCATTTTTGTCTATTCGTCTTCCTCTTTTCTTAACTTCAATTTTCAATACCAAATTTGATCTCTCGTACTACTTTTACTTTTATAACATATTTGGTCCCTCAAACTAATTTACATTAGTATAATAGATTTGGTCCTTCAATTTTTTTATAACAGATTTGATCTTTCTCTCAACTTTCATTTTTGGGATTTGGTCCCTCCATTTAATCGATAAAATTTGGTGGCACAAATATATAATTAGTAACATGAATAAATAAAATTGAAAGCTTAAATTTTTCCATAAAATATTTTATTTTTTCATAAACATTACTTTCATAAAATCTATTAACTTAAAAAAAATATAATTTTGATGATTATTTTTTTAATTAGTTGA